ATAGTTCTGTCTTGGACAAGCAGAAAAGGTCAAATGCTATGTACATATGACCATATAAGATGATGCTAAGTGAAAGATACCCCAAGATAGGGACACCAGAGGTATTATCTTTCTTGCTATTGTTGTTAATATACTTACAATATACTATGTGATTTGTTTGTTTCCCTTGTATGTTCTTCCTTCATGGCATAACCTGTTTTCACTGTATTTCATTAGGAATTTTTTGACATGAGTAACTAAACTTGAGTCTGAGTGCTAACTTGTATACTATAAACCATGTGGAAGCCTTTATATACTATTAAGCCAAAACCTAATGTATAAAAGAAACCCTTAAGTAAACAGCAGGGGCTACACCTGAAGCCAGGAAGTGTTGAGCGCCAGACTGTATTTAACAAAATGAGTAAAATATAACACATTCTAGAAAGAGGAAGATGCTGACAAGCACTACATTCTCATGTCTCCATCAACCATAACTAAAAGCTCAAGGTAGGTGACTGCAAGGAGAACCTAACAAGTGAATAAGTAGGGGAAGGCCCAGTAAGATTACAGGTAGTACCTATAGGATACTGAACTTCAAATCTCTAAAACAGACAAAGAAAAACCTTTCTCAGAGGAAACCCAGACCCATGCCGCATGGATGCAGGGATCCACTCCATCCAGTGACTATTCCTGTCTTTTCTCTTTTTTCTCATTTTGCTTCTGACCAGAGCCACTTGCATGAACCACCTTTGAACAACAATCGCAACAGAATAAAACACAATAAATAAAACCCACCCCACTACATGCAGGGCTAAGCAAAGCCATTTCTGGCAACTAAACAGAAGCAGACGATGATGAGAGTCTATTCTCAATGTAAATTGGGTTCAGTTCTGTGAGACCCACACAACCAGTTCAGTTTTCAGTGATAAATACATCTGGCCCCCAAGTAAAACATTTGGTTGAATGTGCTCATTAAAAGACTCCATGTTTGGTCCTTGACAAGTCAGGCAAGTTTTCCTATAACCAGTGTTACCATGGAGCGAAGTCCAGGGAAGCCAAACATGGATATACAGATAAATCTGGCCCTGGAGAAAACTTTTCAGCAAAGTAAACTCAATAAAAGCCCCCACACATGGTCTTACATAGGCAGGTAGGTGACGCTGTTCTATGTCTACCCTGCTCAAAGATAGGGGAAATGTGGAAGCAGCAGATCCAGATAGTGAAGGAGTTCAACATCTGAGTCTCTGCCCCAAGACAAAAAAAGATACAAAAGTAAGCAAACTGGCTGATTAGAGCCCTAAATCAATTTCACAACCCAAATAGGGCCAACAACACTCCACCTTCAATTTCCAATTGAAAAATTAAAACAGAGGTATATATGGAAAGGGGGAAAAACGCAAGAGACAAACAGAGCTGTCACTGGATTTTTTTTTCTCTTCTCTTTTTTGTCGGTTGTGGGGCCTGAACTCTGGGCCTGAGCACTGTCCCTCAGCTCTTCAGCTCAAGGCTAGTGCTCTACCACTTGAATCACAGAGCCACTTCCAGCTTTTTCTGCTTATGTGATGCTTAGGAATCAAACCCAGGGCCTCATGCATACAAGGCTCTACCACTGAACCAACTTCCCAGCCCCTGTCACTGGAATTACTAAGGGGAGCAGAGCCTGGGCTTCTAGAGGGTGAAGTGCTTTCTAATCATCTAGCTAGGCTCCATGTCTCCAGTTACCCATCCCCAAATTCCATATCAACAGCTACTCCACCAATCCTAGGTAGGCAAAGGAGCCCAAGTATTTCATAAGATGGTTCCTGAATCATGGCAGCAGGCTACCCTGATGCAGAATTTAAGACAACTTTGGACCATCACACTCAAGCTTCAGTTGGTTAATCAAAGTCCTGGAGTTTGGGCTATGTAAGCAAATACAACAGGAGATCTTCAGACAGAAAGCTGACCAGGAGATTGGGAAAGAACATCATTGTGTTGATCAAGCCCAGTAGATACACAATATCCTGTTCAAAAAGGAAGGCTGATTTTAAAACAATTGTTTTGAACCTGTAATATATTTTAAACCTCTTTTAGATGCTGTCATATTTTCTCTTTAGTTTTCCTTTCTAGTTTTTCTACCACTCATTTATAAACTATAGATACTGGTGATTTATTCTACTTTCTCCTCCTATTCTTCTCTACCCTAATCCCTTCATCACAATAATTCTACTATATTCCTGCACACTGCCTACAGCCTTCACATGCCACTTCTTTTGTCCATATCTTCTTTCTGTCCTACTGCTTCTCTTGTTCCACTTATTGTCATGATTTTTAATACCTATGCAAAGAAGTTTTTTCTTCTCTTAGAGTATCATTTAAAAACATGTTTTCTGGGCTGGGAAGGTGACTCAGTGCAGTGCTTGCTTTGCATGCATGAGGCCCTGGGTTCGATTCCTCAGCACCACATAAGCAGAAAAAGCTGGAAGTGGCATTGTGGCTCAAGTGCTAGCCTTTAGCTGAAGAACTGTGGGACAGTGCCCAGACCCAGAGTTCAGGCCACACAGCCGACAAAAACAAACAACAAAACAAACAAACAAACATGGTTCCCTTCATATAGGGCAAAATTGGTTGTGAGTAATGTTACCAATGGTATTCTATTTAATGTCCAGATGCAGTTTAGAACCTAGTTGATGAATTCGTTATTTATAGCCCCAGACATCAACTTTCCCTCTATGCTGTCCTGCCTGACAGAATGCAAAAATAATTCAACTCAAAGACATCAGGTGAATAAAATCCTCCACCAATGAATTGTCTAGGAGCAAATCTCAAGGTAGAAACATAAAATATGAAAACAAGGCTACAGGATATCTCAAACCCTCACCAATCATATTACAAAGAATCTGAAAAGTAATTAAGGAAATAAAATCTCAAATTTTATCTCAAAAGAATGGTATTTGAGTGACTGAGATGAAAAGAAATATGAGTAAATACCTCAATGAAATCAAAGAATACAAGCATGCTAAATAAATTCAAAGACAATACAAATAAGCCACTAAGTGAACTGAAAATTGGAAAATAACAAAGAACTGAATTAATTAAGACAGACAGTAAAAGACATGAAAGGGGAGCTTGATATAGATGTAGAAATCTGAAAGTAAATTAAAATGAAGCTCTGAAAATAAATGTTCCTTAAGTCAAATAAAAAAATCCAGTTGAAAATGAGTTCAATGATTTAAATCAAAGGAAAGACAAAATATCAGGGCTTGAAAACGAAGTAGATGTAAGCGAAAGATGAGATGAAGACAAACAAGAAAGAATGAGACATTTTAATGATATATACAATAATTCTGAACACCATAAAAAGTCCAAACCTACAATTCATGATCATTAAAGAACACACAATACATACAATAATATGATTGGTAGCTCTTTGATGACCATAGGTGTAAAGGTTCTCAACAAAATACTCACAAACCAAAGGTAATAACAAGCTAAGAAGAGCAGGATCCATGATCAGTTTGGTTCCATTCTAGGTAGTCATTTACTTCAACATACATTTGTCATCAATACAATTCATAACATAAAAGGAACCAATGACGAGAGTCACATGATCATCACTACTGAATTTTACAAAGTATAGCATCCTTTATAACAGAAACTAAAAAAAATAATAGAGGAAATGTATTTAAATATAGTAAAGGCTATACAATCACAAGCTTGTAGCCACATCATATTAAATATGGGAAAACTTGGAATCTACAGTCCGGATCAAGACAAGGGGTTTGACTCTGACCATTCTGATGAACTATAGCACTGATACAGAGTTTGTTGTCATTTAAGAGTTCATCTCATCCTGGTCAGTATGACAATTACAGAAACATATACTAATAGTAATAGTCATATGTAAAATGGCATGAGGTTCCCTCAAAAGATTAAATGAAGGTCTAGTTTATTACCTCACCATATCAATTTAGGTTGTATACCTGAATGAGTGTAAATAAATACATAAGAATGACACCCGCGTATCCATGTTTATTGTAGTCCTGTTCAGAACAGCTAAACTGGAATCGTACTGACCTAGAATTCTACCACAGAACATTACTTAAATACAAAAAAGTGAAATTATGTAATTTTAAGAGAAATGCATGGAACTAAAGTTCATGTTGAGCAATATAAACCAAGCTTAAAAAAATCAAATACAACACGGTGTCTTAGTATGACTGTTGGAAATGAACTTTAAAACTTGAGGAGGTAGAGGGGTTGAGAGGAGAAAAAGGGGGAGAAAATGAGGGAGGAGTTAACACTGTTGAAGAAGAGATGTACTCATGACCCGATTTATGTAACTGTAACCCCTCTGTACACCACCTTTATGATAAAATTTAACTTAGAAAAATCAAGTGCAACAGCTTGACCTACAATGATGATGGTAATCACAATCATAACCGTGACGCCCACATAAAAACAGAAGACTAGCTAAGACAGAACAATGGCAGGGTAGAGGGGAAAAAGGAAAGGATACTGAGGTGTGAAGGCTATTGAAGGATGTTACATATGCATAGGTAAATATGTATTCAGAAAGAGGGAGAAACAGAAAATAGTGAGGCAGAAAGCCATCCCCAAAACAATGAAGATGGGAACAGGGCCAAGGCAGGAATGAGAACAAAATGGGCAGTGTGGACTGACTGGAGGTACACTCTATGCATGTATGGAATTATCACAATGGAATGTTGTGGTATTATGAACACATGCTCATTCAAAAATAAAATAAAAATTTAAAGGCCATCTATTTCTAAGTCAAATGAAGTAGTTTCAGGTTTGCTAATCTCCTTTACTTCTTCCCAAAATAAATTCTTTATTAGTGTGAATGTTGAGATTCTGTAGTTCCTTGGAATACTTTTGAATAATAGTTTGGTGCCTCAATTTTTTTATTAGATATAGGTGTAATATAGTAGTTCAGCCTTAAAGGGAAAACTGCTAAAAATAAAACAAAAAAAGCAAACAATGTATCACTCAAAAATGTTTATAAGCTTTCACAATCATTTTTTTAACACAGAAGTCTGTTTATTAAACCAAACAAAAACAGAGAAAATTATACCAGCCCTCAGTTTTTGAATTTTCTTTTAAATAAGCAAACTCTAAATTCACATCTTAAAAGATGTTTGTGCGTCTGTGTATTTCCAAAATACTCATATTTCAATAAGATTTTCACATTATATTCACCAACAGTATCACAAAAGTTGTGGGGGTTTTCTTGTTTACATAACTGTAAGGAACAGTAATTCTAGAGCCACTAGAAGTAGAAAGCATAGCAATGTCCACAGTTACAAGAAAAAGTGCACATTACTTGGTCACAATCACAGTCATTACTTGAAAAACTATATGTAACAAGTAGGTAAGAAATATCACTGATGCCTTCAACTCATGGTCAAAAACCGAATGACATAAATTTTACATGAAATAAGGCAAACTCAGGAATTCACAAATAATTTGTAATCCAATCAAAACTAAACAACAGAAAAAGAAAATTGTACCAGAAGCATGAACTAAGGTACTTCTTCCTAAATACTTGAAAAGTAGACTTGCTTCAGTGCACAAAGAAAACACCACTCATGGGTAGCTAAGACTAGGAAAAGAAGAAAGAAGGGCCAAAGTATGTTCAGTAGGAGGGAACAGTTCTTTGTAAGTTGCAGCTGCACCCTCTGAGGAGTTCTTTATTTTTAGCTAAGACTGTAAATTATACAAATCATATCAGGAGGCATGACGGTCTTTTTTGGAATGTATTTTCTGAAAGAGAGAAATGAAAAGAAAACTACACACAAGAGTGCAAAATTTCAGATTGTCACTTGCAACCTCTTAACACATTCAGTCATCTATATCCAATTGCTGCTCCAGGCCTTCTTGTGAGACAGCAGGGAAACACAGGAGTGAGCAGCTCCAAGGAAACCAAGGTGTGATCCTTTTCCAACACATCTTTTTTTAATGTTTAAGAAATTCTGTGATGAAAACTGCTAGGGTAAGGTTGCAGTGTGGAGTGGGTGTTTTGAGATCAGCGTTAAGTGCAGAATTGCAGGCCTCTCTTGCAAGTAGTTCCTGGTGTGATGATTTACAGAACGTAGGAAAGGGATTTTCCAGCATCAACTGTTATTAATTTTTTTTTTGTAGAAAGAATTTGGAAAGAGGAGAAGGCAAAAGGGATGTGGAAAAGGTACTTAACAATAGTTTCTCAAAACAGTTCTCTTTTAGGATCTATGAAAAAGTTACCAAAGTAAAAATGACAATTCTGAATGCAAAACAAGTTTTCTTTTATAAAAATTACTTATTTTTTTTAAAATACAAGATCCTTTTCATTGTTGTTATATCCTGTAGCAACAAGAAATTTGGCTTTTTTTTTGTTTTTTGCCAGATACTTCAGCTTTCAGTCCATTGAGTCAATAGCAGATTCCACTAATATTTCATTGCACTTGGACCTTGAACTTTTCTTTTTTTTTTACACCACAAGCTTCTCTTCTGTTTTATCCTTGAATTAAGAAATGTAGCCTGTTTTGCCCATGATATTTATGCTGACACATTAAAATGAAAAGCAATAGGCTGGACACGTTTAAATATCACAAGTACTTCAGAGGTCAGAGTTCCTTTGAAGCACCTTAACACATCACTTTATGTACCAAGGACAATGTGGCATAATGGAAGTATTTCTCTTAAAAGATTGTGCAGCAAGACCGGAAATATCTCTGCTGGGAAATCAAAATGTCATTAGTGGAAACTGCAAATTCAGAACTCAGTGAATATGGTCATCACTTGACTCAGTTCTGTTGTAAAATGAGATTTTCCAGTTCATCTGCAGAACGCAATAAAAATGCAGCCGATTCCCGATATCCTGCCACCAACTGTCTCACAGCATTGATTTCGGTGGGACTCAGCTGAGGTCTGGAGCTGGAACTGCTGGAGGATCCTGAGCTCGTCGCCAACTGCCTCTTCATGCTGAGATCGGTGGGTCCTAAAGAAAAATAATGACAAAATCACACACGAGTAACTTTTGTTCTAGGGCCCTGGGTGTGTGGGGGTACTCTGTAAATTGTTGCTGAATTAATTCATGCATTCTTTCTCAAGATAGTGATATATATATATATATATATATATATATATATATATATATATAAATCTTGTACAGATGCTTTTAGAAAGACAAGATAAATATGCTACTTGAGTAGCTGAGGGAAATTTGTGTCTGGTGACTTGCACAGGTTGGGCAATCACTTGTTATTGTCAAGAAAAAAGAAGTTGATGTTAGATGAAATGAGCCCCAAGATAAGTATTCAAATGTTTTTTTTTCTTTCTTGTGATTGTTTCTAACATATTTATAAGATGATTTCTTTGTTGCTTTGTATGTCCCTCCCCCATGGTATAACCCCTGCTTTCACTGTATTTGATGTTGGTATAATTTGGGGAGGAGAAGGGAAAAAACAAATCATTGAAATAGGGCTACAGGTGGACCCATTGCAACAATGAGATGTACAAGTCGTTATGTCGAAAAATGAACTTTACAACTTTGGCCGGGGGTGGGGGGGTTGGGAAAGGATGGGAAGGGGAAACAATGGAGGAGGCAACAATGTTTGATAAGAAATGTACTCATTGCCTTGCCCATGTAATTGTAACCCCTCTGTACGCTATTTTCACAATATAAAAAAGAATAAAGAAGGTCTTTGAATGTGTGCTGCTTGGGCAAATATAAAACAGAATTTGGTGGTACTGTGGTGTTGAACTCAGGGTTTTGTGCTTCCGCTGCACGCACTCTAACATATGAGATGCCTCCAGGCCTCTTTGCTTTCATTACTTTTCAAATAGGGTCTCATATATTCATTGGCTGGTCTAAGCTGCAGTCTTCCTATTTATACTTCCTGTTTAGATAGAAGGAGAGGTGTATGCCACTATATCTAACTATTGATTAACATGGGGCCAGGGAGGAGGGGGTGTCTTATTTTTATGTCAAGGCTAACCTTGAATAATAATCCTTCTAATCTCCATCTCCTGATTAGCTAGGAGTATAGGTGAGAATCACTGGTGCCTAGCTCATAAAATTTAGTTTTAAGTCTCTTGTGCATATATTACATAAGTTTCTTACAATAAAAAAGGTGGAGATGACAAATATTTTGTTCTTTACTGTACGAGCACATATCATAGATATCATGCATTTGGAATTATAGTAACATCTTAAAATGTGATGCTAACAGCTCTTATACAAAGTTAGCTTAGAAAAGAGAAAATTGAGGATTGTCAGGCTTCAGCAATGTGTTTAGAAATGCATATTTAAGCAGCACTACAAGGACTTGATTTAGGATTGTTTTAAAATTTTCATATTGATGATCTCTGCAGGCTGATTACAAGTGAAAAATGTGGACATATCATATTACAATTTGCTTTTGAAATGTAATAAGTAAATGGTTGGTGCAAATAAAACCGCACTTAGGATTCTGCTTTATATATTGTTAAAGCTGCTTTAACAGTGTGGAAAATACATTGATATGCCATAACTTTTTCTTATATGGATAAACAAAACCTGCTAGTACTTTTATAGACAATAGTTTTTCAGGTTTTATTCAAAACAATGAAGTTATTTAAACATCTTTAAATTTGCATTGAGAAGATGATTCACAACTTAATTACCTTGGGATCATTAAATTGGGATATGTGTGTGTGTGTGTGTGTGTGTGTGTGCATGTGTGTGTGTGTGTGTGTGTGTGTGTGTTAGTTATGACCTATCATTTAAGCATTTCTTATCATTATTAAATTTTCAGTGATTGCCAAATTTAAAATATTCAATAAAATATTACTAAACACATCAAGTCAAACTTCCAAATTATAATGGCCTATAACTTGAATATATTTTAAAAGATTATCTATAAATATTAGCACATCTTTAGATAATGGGATTTACTTTGTGAACTAAAACAAGCTATGTGTTTTCTCTTTTGATTCTCCTTGAGAAAAAAGAGAGGTCAAGACCCAGACCCACCCCACCCTCTACCATGAAGGAGACAGATGTCCCATGAGAGAGAAATAGCTCCATTTAGACTTTAATTAGAGCAGAGAGGAGACCTTCACTAGAACTCTGACATCTGATAGAACAGTCCTTCATACTCTGTCGTGGCGTTTCAAAGCTTTGATTTTTCTAACAGAAGTTAGCTGCCATTTATTCTTCTATTTGCAAAATCACATTATGGAAGTAAACAAGCTGAGAGAAGTATGGGGTTGTTACAATTGCAAAACTCCATTGCTTTGCCTGTTTTTCAAGCAAATTATTCGTTAAAATGTTTGAGTAAGGTTTTTGTAAATAATCATGACCTAGAAACAGTTTGATCCTTGGGTGAACATAATTTAAATTCTCTTTTATTCTTCTCATTCAAAAAGTTTAGCATTAGTATACCTCTTTTTTATTTGCAGCACTAGAGTTAGAATGAGGGGATTACACTTGCTAGGGAAACACTCTTCCCCATGAGCCGCATCTCTAGCTCTTTCTTGTTTTAGGTATTTTTCAGGTAGGGTTTTGGATTTTTGCTTCAGCTGGCCTCAAACTGCACATAGTTCAGATTACAGTTACGAATCATCACACCAACTTATTACTTAAGATCTGGTCCTGCTAACATTTTCCCTGGGTTGGCTTTGAACTGTGATTCTCCTAATACCTCCAATGTAGCTGCAATTATAGCAAATCAACAACAACAAAGAACAATCTTATTTAATGAATATTAGTGGAAAGCTCCTTCATAAAGTACTTTCCAACCCAATTCAACAACTAATCAAAAAGATCATACACTGTGATTAAACAGTATTTTATCCCAGTTTCGCAAGGTTGGTTCAACATATGTAAATCAATAAATGTAATACAACATACCAACAGAAGTAAAGATAAAAAAAATCACTTGCTTAGACAAATCTATCATTCTATTATGACAAAAGCTCTGGAAACACTAGGAAAGATTGGACATTATCAACATAATAAATGCTGCTTATAACAAACCTAGACCCAGCACTAGAATAAATTGTTGAAATAAAAAATAACTACACAACTTGTGGGTGAGGACAGGAGGGAAACCCTGTGAGAGTTTGAGGGAAGGGGTGACATGGTTCAAAAAGAAATGTACTCATTACCTGACTTACATAACTGTAACCCCTCTGTATAACACCTCTACAACAGCAAGGTATATTTTTCCCTGTAGTTTTTTATTTTAAATTTTATTGTAAAAGTAATGTACAGTGGGGTTACAGTTACATGAGTCAGATAATGAGTACATTTCTATTTGAACAGTAAAAAATAAAACATTTTCTCTTAAATCAGGAACAAGATAAAGATGTTAAATTTTTCTGCTCCTTTTCAATATAATATTGGAATTCCTAGCCAGAGAAATAAGGTAAGTGAAAGACTTACAGGGTGTCTAAAAAGGGAAGGAAGAAGTAAAGCTATTAATATCTGCAGATGAGATGATCTTATATTTAAAGAATCCTAAGTGACTCTACCCTTCAATCTCCTAGAGCTGATAAATTACTTAGGCAAAATAGAAAGGTATGAAATCAATCAACATACCTCTTTTTCTGTATGTAAAAATAATGAAAAGATCGAGACTGACATTAGGAAAGCAACCTCATTTGCAATAGTCTCAAAAAAAGAAACAGTACAAATCAATCTAACTAACAGCCTTTATAATTGAAAACTATAATATTGTGAAGAAAAAGTTGAAGAATAATTTAGCAAGTAGAAAGATTTCCTGTATTCCGGAACTAGTAAAATTAATCCATAAAAATGACAATAACCTGAGGTAATCTATGATTTCAATGAAATAACCATGATCATAAATACCAGTGTCATTTTTTTCAGTGAGAGAAAATATCATTGAAAAACTTGTATAGTATCACAAAAAAACATGAATCACAAAGTTAGTCCTGGGCAAAAGAGTAAGTAGTTTAGAGGCATAACAATTTTAGGTTTAGAATTACTGTAGAGTTATAGTGTCAAATACATCTTGGTTCTGGCACCAAAATGTAACAGCCGGCCAATGGATGGAGTAGAAGACCCAGAAATAAAACCTACAGCCATCTAATATTTGATAAAGGACCTAATAACAGACCTACAGCCATCTAATATTTGATAAGGGAACCAATAAATAGGATGGAGAAAAAGCTGCATCTTCAAAATTTTGTGTTGGGAAAACTAAATATCCATATGCAGATAATTGAAAATGAATCCCTGTCTGTCATCCTGAACTAGTAGCAATTGAAAATAATTCAAAGACCTCAATGTAAGACCAGAAATCATGAAACTACTACAGGAAGGACTAGGAGAAATATTGAAGTTCTTGGCACAGTCAGGAACTTTCTGAGTAAACTTTCAGAGGATCAGTAAATCAAAGAGAGAGTTAGCAAATGGGATTTCTCAAACTCGGAAGTCTCTCCATGGCATAGGACATAGTTAATAAGCTGAGAAACGGCCTAAAGAATGGGAGAAGATCTTTGCCAGATATACGTCAGAAAGTGGCCTAATATCCAGAATATACCAAGAGCTCAAGTAAGCAGGGTTTTTATTTAGGTCTGTAATCCTAGTTACTCAGGAAGCTGAAATCTGAGGATCTCAGTTTGAAGCCAGACTAGGCAGAAAAGGGTATGAGACTCTTATTTCCAATTAACCACCTGAAAACCAGAAGTAGAACTGTGGCACAAAGTGGTAGAGTAATTAAGTAAAAAAAAACTCAGTTTGGGGGCTGGGAAGGTGACTCAGTGGTAGAGTGCTTGCCTTGCATGCCAGAGGCCCTGGGTTCGATTCCTCAGCACCACATAAGCAGAAAGAAAAAAGTGGCGCTGGGGCTCAAGTGGTAGAGTGCTAGCCTTGAGCTGAAGAGCACAGGGACAGTGCCCAGTCCCAGAGTTCAGGCCCACGACCGGACCCCCCCCCCAAAAAAAAAAACAAAAAACAAAAACAAACTCAGGGACAGCAACCAGACCCTG